CCTAGCACACTCACACAGGGAGCATACAAATATCTCCTTTATACCCTCTCAATGCTTTCCCCCGCAGCAGCAAGACACACTTATGTAGCCCTTTAATTTACTGTCCTTGAATTGCATCTTTGTCAGGGCAATTCTAAGGTCTGGAGAAGGCCCTTGACCAAGTGCACAGCGTTATATTGTTAACAGTTTGACAAGAGAGTGATTCACGTGCAACAACCTTTAATGTTCGAGGTTTTGCTGCTGTGGATATTATATGGAGAGCAATTCTGTTAAGTCCCTTTGGGAGCCCTGGAGCTAGGGAAGGCTAAATTCTGATGCGTTTGTCCTGAGTGTTTCTGGTGGCTGCTGTAGAACCGACCCTCTTTGAGAAAGAAATACAGAATAACACTTTCAGAAGAACAGTGTTGTAATCGTGTGAAATAACATCTGGAGACTGTGGTGTGGGCACCGATGATGGATTATATCTTGGAATACTCTTTCAAGAACTCTTGGGAGCAGAATTTGCACCCACCAGCCCTTTGCAGAAGCAGGAGAGGAAATCTGCTCTGGGGACATTGGGAGGCTTACGCATACTGCTCCCGTGTTCCAAGTAGGAAATCCCAGAGACGTACTTGGCCATGGGAACTATGAGGCAAGTGTGAAAACAGCTCTAAAGCATGTGTGCTGAGCCTGACAGAATGCTGGATGCTTGATCAAAGTCCTCTTTTTTTCATGTGGTCACAATTTGTAGCTGGAAAAAGAATACATTTAAAAAAAAAACAACAAAAAAACCCCAAAATCTGAGCAGTGAAAGTCTTATTTAGGCAACAAAGCCTGCTATCTCACTATGGAGGAGTATTGGAAAATGATTACCCTTTATGTACAGACTCATGGTTTAGAGATATGAAGCTCTTGAACTCTAACCAGGAGCCAAAGGTATTCCATTATGATTTTGTCTCCGTTTCATTGTCATTGAAACCGAGATGATAAAATGGCTAATATCACCTTCACAAGGAGGGAAGGTGTTACTTAAACAAGTTTTTCATAACACTTAGAAAGCTAAAGAATTTACTCTTAGCATAAATATACATCTAGAATTAGGTTAAATAAGAAAATCAAAAGCTTCTTAAAGATTTGTGTTAGATTTTATGACAACCCTGTAACTACAATGGCAGTATCTTAGGAGTCCCACAGAACTTCCTCTAATAAGACATTCTTCATATGCGGGGTTTTTCTGGGGGGGGTTGATGCCCTGAATGGATAGTGTTTCCAAACAAAACTAGGATTAGTAAATCAATTAAAACGACAAATTTCTTACTATGGGGGTTCAAGAGCTGGTACTCTATGTTAAACTAGGATTCAGAAAATATTGAAGTACTTTATTTATGCTTCATCTATCATAGGAAGGATAATGAAATATCCTAAAGGACTACTTATTGGATTATTTTCAGCTGTGCTTTTGACAGGCACCACACTGTTGTTTGTTTATGACAGTTACTAGGAAACCTAAGGACTAATAATTTGCTTTTCACGTATAATTGTCAGCTAAGGGTTGGGTTTGCTTCAGAGTCAGACCTGATGCAATCTATTAGGTAACAGACCAAATAACATCTGGAAGATCTATGTCTTGTTTGCAGGTAAATAAGCATCTTTCAACAATAAGATGAACTTAAAATTTAAGATAAATTTAAAACTTAAAAACATTCAGTTTCTCTGATGCCTTTGTCACACCTGCACTGTTGTGTTTTTTTTAAGCAATGCAGCAGCTCTTTGGAAATGTGAATCATGAGCGTTAAATAAATCTTATGAAGTTCCAGTTGCTGCAAGATGAAATTTTAGGTTTTCTGGATCTGGAGAGCAGAATAATAAAAAGAATTTGAGGTTTCCTTAAAATAAGTTTATGTAAGAGCTGAAGATAAAGATGATGTTTCAAAATTTGTAACTGATGGAACAACCTTTTGAAACAGTGTCAAACCTGTTCTCCAATTCATGAAGTAAGTGTGGAGCAGTAGTTCTTAGGTCTACCAAGGGAACCAAGAGTATAACCATCCTTTGGCTCTAAAGAGTGCTCAAACTTAAAATATTTCTGTGTATCATTGCAAAGACCATAGCTGTGTGCACAGGTAGGATGTATGCACGGTTTCTATGGCCACACTGTCGTGCCAATGCAAATATGAAGCTTGCATAGGAAATTGTACTTGCCTGTGTCTGTTTTTTTGTGTCTACTGTTAGCTGCCTACCTGGTCAATTGAATCTCAGATTTCCTCTACGGAAACTGATAGCCAGAGTGACAAATGTAATTTGAACTACTTAGTTTGAAGTAGATAATGACCACGAAATATCTGTCTGATTCAAGAAGTTTCTGCCCCTAGAGTTTTTGTTGTAGCCTGATAACCTTTAGTGGCCTGAGCTCGACGAAGTATGTTAGTTCAGTTTGATAGCCAGCCTAAGTTTTTGACTCCAGAAACAAGCTGTGCATTGTCCTCCTGATTTCTTTTCAGCACGGCAAGTGATAGTGATGCTAGAACAGTAGCAATCTGCCAGTCCTTCTTTTCAGCTGGTCTGTGCAGGAACTTCGATAGCTGTTAAAAGAAAAGGCATATTTAACGATAAAAGTTTCATTTGTTTCAGTCAGTTGTAACAGCAAGTGCTAATATTTGTAAAATCATTTTTTGGGGCAAATGTCCCCTTAGGCAATTGACTGTGCGATTCTGTTGAAGGTGCATTAAAATGGCATAGATATCTATCTCATGAGGAGTAATCTAGTACTCTGAGCATGGACAGAGCTCTTACATGGGTTAGAGTCCAACACGGCTTGGCTCTATGAGCTCGTGCATAGTACTGCAGAACCCCTTTGCACCTGCGTTTGCTTAATAGTATTGCTCAGGCATGAAGGATGACACCATTATTGCCTTATTGCTAGATGCAGCTTTCCTGTGCATAAATATCTCAGCTGGAGATCAATGTGGAAGTTAATTCACTGGAGTCAGTACTCCTGGATTGTGCAGGGTACAGCCCTGACCCATTTCCCTCCCTTGTGGTAGACACTCTGCAATTTTGTCTTTACTTAAGGCATCCCCTCAAGGCACCTATGAAATCCCAGTTATTTTATAACAGAATTTGAAACATTGTCGGTCTGTTGAAGGTGAGGTCTAGTTTTCTCAGTATTTCTAATGTTTCTTCAGCAGTGGTCCACAAGAAAGTAATAGTATACAAGACTAGAGTAAGTGGTCCGCACCTAGCCTGCAAAACCATATTGCCTTGAAAAAGACTGGGTAAATCTGAAGCAAATCAATTGATTTATTTTAGTAACCTAGTAAGGTTTCAGTCAGTGCTTTTGCATTTCAAGCTGCCTGAAATGTGAGTATTTGATTTTCAAATGCCTGGCCATACCATGTAAAAGAGGCGTTATCAGAAGTGGGACTGATTTATTAATCTCAAAAAGGACATCCTAGAAAATGGCGAGGATGATAAAACCCCCTTACAGTGGATGCAACAACGTAAATGTGGTCCATGATATAAAAGGGTCTGGCTGATTACATGACTGCTGTGTGATACATAAAAATCCGGTAACGAAACACAGTCAGAAAAAACTTCCAGCAGGAGTGACAGAAGTCACTTTTCTGTCTTTGTATTTTCCTCTAGCAATCAGCCTTGAGATGCTTCAAGCGTCTGGCACTAGGCAGCAGAGGAGCAGATTTCTATCTATCTCCTCCAGTCTCTTGGAGACCTTTTTACCAAAATAACAGAAATCTGTATTTTTTCCAAAAAACATGGTTCCCGTAGCATTTACTCTGGAGGCTACCCTTCAGACACACCATGATGCCTTTGGCTGGCTAGTAGCGTGCTGGGCAAGTATATTTCCAGGGGAAAACCTGGGATTAACGGTATGGATTGTATGTGTAAAGTGGCAGGTATCTCCTGAGGTAGAGGGGTCTGCAAGCAGACGATATTTTTCTTCTTTCTAGCCATCACTGATCTCATCCTTACCCTAACGTACGTACAGGGAGATATTGGACAAATGCTTGTGCTGGTAGTGGTGCCAACAGCTGCCTATACTTTAACTAGCCTCAGGTTGTGTGCTGCTCGTGACTGGCCATACTCCGGTTCCTCCAGATGTTACAACCTAGGGTCCTTGTGGCAATGTGTTTTTGCTTGATGTAGCTGTGTGGTTACAGACTCTTGCAAAGCAAGGACTAGGAAAGGAATACTAGGCGTTAATCCTTTTCTACTTGGAGAAACTGCTCAAACCTCTGGAAGAGCTACCCTGAAAACTTTGTTCATAAGAGTATGAAAGAGAACATTTTCTTCAGAATATGGGACAAATGATGCGCAAAAAAAGTTGATGCAATTTTATTTTTAAATCTAGTTAGTTATTTGTTGAAAAGTGAATTGGTTACATTCATGTTTCTGTGAAATAAATCAGGCATCTTCGAGATCTATGTCTCCTAGTTACCTAGGAGCATTGAACTAATATTAGAAATGAAAAGTCCAAAAATACAGTATAAACATTTTACTCTAATTTGCTTTCATGTTTTCACACTTCTGACATCATCCTGTTTCCTGCTTTTGCAATGCAGTAAAGAAGGGAAGCCTAATCACCAGTTTTGTTTATTTTATAAAAGAAAGCAAAACAGAAATGTAGCATAGCCTTGGGAAATCCAGTCCTCCTTTATTGAGTATTGTTAGTTGTTATTATTAGAAGAGGAAACATTTCTTTTTTGCTTTGTGGGGCATTACTAATCTTTTTATTCAGATTTGTAGGTATAAAAATAACAGAAGCAACCAAGATGAAGTTTAAAACGAGCTGAAAAAATAATAGGCTAAGGGATCTTTGGGACTTTTAAGCTTCTCAACAAGGCACAGTATTGAAGTATGGAGACATCACCTTCAGAGGGGTTTTTTTTCGTGTAGGCAGAGGCATAAACAGGAATATGCAAGAAACACCGTTTTTTTCTTTCATGTGTGCGTTGTCAAATTGTTGGTAAAGACTGTAACTCTCCACCTTTCTTCTCTTTTAGCCACATAATCAATGAGCTGATAGAAACAGAACGGGTTTATGTAGAAGAACTGCAAAATATAATAGAGGTAAGCAATTCTTCTGTAATGACTTCTGGTACTTAACCTCTGAGTCATCACTGAGGGTGCACATCCCTCACGGGCCGAGCGCTCTCCCCGCCTACCTCACGTGTAGAGCACACAGCCTCTGTCAGCAAGATAGCTCAGATGGAAAATGAGAAGGATGTTTTGAACATCTCTCCTCAGGGCTTGAAGGAAGAGGCACCTTTTCTGACCCCAGCCCACGGAATGATAAAAGTTGCATGGTTCTCAAAGTTATGGACAGAGGAATAGTTAATAATGTGCCTTTTAAAAATGTCTGCAGTAGGCTTCAGAAACAGCACCCTTGATTTCCATGAGGCCAGACACTAAATTTCTGTGAATGTAGGTTTGGAAAATGGCTGAGAAAAAGGAAAGATTCCTTTTCCTCTTCCCCCTCTTGTTTATTGTCCCATGTAGTGTCTGAACACAGAAAAGAGCCGCTCATACTGAAAATATAACTCTCGAGCTTTTGAAACTCATAGGATACCAGCATACTGTGTGTGTGTGTGGAGTCCGACTTCCCTAGTCTGTGGGAGGATGGAGGCTGAGCAGGGCTCAGTCATGCTTGTATTTGGGTGGGACCTGAAGGACTGGATAGTTTCTTTTTACAGCCGTGTGGTTGCTTCTTTATTGGATTTGTTCTGTGGGAGCTGACAGCTCTGATAATTGATATATTACTCTTGACTTTAAAATCTGCACTTAGAATGTTCTTCTCTCAAAGCTTCTATCACAGAAACACAATCCAGTTTCTACAAGAAACAACTAAATAATCAAGCCAAATACCACAGTTCAACGAATAAATCCAAACTAACCCTTTTGCAATGAAGCAATGTAGCAGAAAGATATGTGTCTATCAAACTTTACAGTTTCCATCCCTACATGACCAAAATGGCTTTTGAATCCTAGGGACATCATTTAATCTTTTTTGTTAATCCAGTAATCTGTCCATTTGTGATAAAAATGTGTTTGGACATCTATCAAGGGTAAAAGCTCTGGGGAACATTAGAAGCATCAGAAATCCATGGGAGCAACAAAGAGGCTGGCATAGGAGAAGCCTTGCTGTGCTCTGTTGAAAACAAACAGCATACAGACTTCAGGGCTTTTCAGTGTCTCAGAAACAGTATTTCTTCCCTGGTAAAAACAGCCTGGTTTTATTTTCCACTCTTCTCTGCAGGGGTATGCTTCACAAATGGACAATCCCAATTTAGTACATCTGATTCCATCTGCACTCCAGAACAAGAAAGAAATTCTGTTTGGGAACCTCCCAGAAATTTATGAATTCCACAACAGGTACGTGGGAACTGGCAGTTGTCCTACGCCCTTGGGTGCTACTGTCATTTCTACTCCCTTTATGTGGGGTGCTTTGCCGCACTCACACATACGCAGGCAGGAAGAGTCATCCTCGCTTTGCCTCTGCGTGTGTCCTATAAGACCCATGTATGGAGAACAGCTCTGAGATCATCTATTTTGGGTTTTTTTTTGTGAAAGATGATACCGTTTTGTGCATTTAGTAGTGATTTCCCCTGGCATTATCCATTTTGAATGTCCCTTGTGGTGAGTATTTTACCACCTCCCTTGGTACACTGGTAGATGTCACAGGACTAAATCCTGATGTTCTTTCTCTGGCAAAACTCCTTTGTGAAGAAGTGTTCTTAGTGTTCAGTTTATTTGTCCTATATTTCTCTTATCACATCAGAAGACATGATATATTTGATAGCACTTTTCTTAAGGAATTTTATCCTTCATGTGATCATAAATCTTTCCAGAAGCTTTGTCCACACTGTGGACAAGGTGATCTAGTGCCTGTAACTACAGAATACTGATTATCAATGAGATTAAGTGCTTTTTGATCCCCTTTCAAAAATCAAAGCTTAGGGCTACTTTAAGTTTCCTGCTTTTCCTAGCCTTGATTAAGTCAAACTGGCTGTAGCCAAACTGAGAATTTAGGAATACTTTTGAATAATTAATACCCATAAGATGTAACAAATAGTTGAACAAAATTAATCAAAAAATCCCTCTTTTGCAAGTTTAATTATGCCAGAGTAGTTGATACGTAGTAGAAAAATTATTTTCCGGTTTATGTATTATTTTGAAAGAATGTGTCTTCCATTTGGAGAATGAAATGCTGCCACTGGAGAGGCCTTTGGACTACATCCCATATTTTCACTGCTTGCTGATTAAGCAACTGCATCTGACAGAGCTTTTCTGTCTTTTCTAGCTGTTCTGAAAAATCCTCCTACCCAGGTGGGAAGCAGGTGTTTGGGCTGCATGTTGGAAACAAATCTCAACAGCCAGAGGAACCAGATGTATCAGATGCTTGTCAGCAGATGAAAACATGATAATATTGGTGATTCAGGCAATCAGCTCTGAACCACATCCCATTTTTCTAAAATATATGTATATAATATTTTTCTTTGACTGTCACAAGTGTTACCTTCCCCATTGAATCCTCTTACTATGAAAATATGGGCTTTAAGCTGGATTTACGCAGAAGCTAGCACACAGTGTGAGTGGGATGTTACATTGCTGCTTGCTTTCCTTTCTTCCTCCCAGGATTTTCCTTAAGGAGATAGAAAATTGCATTGAAAACCCAGAGCTTCTTGCCCGATGTTTTTTGAAAAGAGTAAGTAAATCCTTTTTTGGGTTTATATGAATATCTATGGTCTTATCCTACAGTGTTTACAGATTTACTCCTATCCTTTCACTCTGATGGCTTTTGTGAATGAGGAAGACTCACATAGGCAGATATTCTCAAATGAAGCCACAGTTAACAAGTGCGTATTCTGAAATCTGAACCTTTACCTGATTTACTGAGAGGAGATGTTACCAGTGTTTTACCAATGTATTTTAAGCCCTGGTTAAAACAACATCACTGATCCAAATACTTGACATGCTTTTCATATCAGACAAATCTATACCAGCAGTCTCATGTATCCCAGACACCACCCTATTGTAAATAAGTGGAGAACAGTATCACAGCAAACTGCGCTGGGTGCAGACAGTACATCTGTTCCTTCCTTATCTTATCTCTCTTTTCTCTGCACCATTCAGGAGACTTACTCCCCTAGAACTGCTCCAGCAGAGTCTACCACCTTCCTTGTGTGGCGAAACCCCTCCAACTCCATAAGACTCTGTGAGGTTGATCCCTTTACTTGTTCCCATAATCCAACAACCAAGTGGGATCGTCCTCAGCTGCGTGCCGTGGTGAGGGCTAGCTGTCTGTTTGGCAGTAGAGTGAGCTCACTTTGTGAGAAAGCCCAAAGCCGACAGGCAGTGGTGGGTTTGATCAGACGCGTTTCTTCGCTTCCTGTGGCTTTCAGTGCCTAAGCTCTGCAACCCTCTCCTCCGAGAGCTCCCAGTCATGTCTCTCCCTCTCACCCCCCCCGCCCTCCCAGTTAACATGACTGTTAGTTCTGTTTCCTGTAACATAACAAAAGCTGCTTGTTTATATAGCATGCATTCGGAGGCCCTACTCAGAAGAAAAAACCTGTTTTGGTGGGTTGCTACCATTTGCATAGTCTGACAAAACTGCTTGAATAAGACTCTGAGTTTTGCATGGGAAATGGAAGAGGCATGAGAAATGGGAAAATCTGTCCTCTTCCCTGTAGTCAAAGGTACCTCCTGCTTCCATGAATACTGCATCTAGCATTTGCTGCTTTCCCAGGGTAGGTGTGGAATCTGCTTTGTTCAACAAGGTGCTGTATGAAATACAGGCAGATTTGGATGAAACATACATACCGCAGTTGTCAGAGGTGTTGAGCACCACCACGTCTCTAAGATTTCAGTGGGAATTATGAACGTGTGATGTTTCTCAAGGGTAGGCCCCCAATTACAGACAGGTCAGGCTGAAGATCATCGTACGAGTGTAAATGTGATTATAAGTCTGCTGTACGATTTTCTGTTTAACAGCCAGCATTTAGAGCTGGAGTAAATAACACTAAGGAATACGGTGTTATCCTAAGACTCACATGCTGAGCAGGAAAATATTGTGGTGAAATCATTATGCAAAATAGGATGAACAGACTTTGAATATCCCTGGACTTGGAGCTAAAGAGAAATTCTTGATACAGAATTGATTCTGTAATTCTGCAGAAAGTTCAAATTCGATGTTTAAATATTGTAGCTTACGTCTTCATCTCTAAAAACAGCCCAACTCTCCTCACTATTCTGCCAATATGAAATCATCAGCACTAAAGATATAGTTCAGGTGTGAAGTGAAAGAAAATCAGTCACATTTGCTTGACAGTTTCTATGGCCTAGTCAAACAACACTAAGTATATTGAATAAGAGGTTAAAAGACGCATTTGATTTCTATTTCAAATTTCACACTAAGAAAGCAAAAGTCTCTCTCCTGAGGTGTCTCTGCTCACACAGTAGCACCTTTGATTCAAGAACTTGCCCTTATGTTCTGTTTTTAGAAGAAGCCACATAAAGTCCAGAGATTTGTTGTTTCTGTTGGACTGCCTTTAGGAGGCACAAACAAAAGCCTGGTTGTGTGTTTGTGTCCCCCTGCTCTGGC